ATACTTAATAAACCTCCAACCACATTAAAAACACTTCATACACCTTTCGAGTTCTCGGGTCAGTTTTGATCCGGTGAATATAAACATCATAACTTTTTAACATAACTTATTTTTTCAACTAAAACCATATTGTATCTGATCAGTAACATCTCATTAATGAGTTAATGTTTCAAAGTTTTAAATGTTACCCTATCTAAAAAAAAAAATTCAACATTAATGACAATTTTTATTTTAATATATCATTATATGACATGTGTAAGAACATAGAAACTGATAATTACCAGTATTTACAGTAACACTTTAGTTTAGGGACCAATTCTCACTATTAAGTAATTGCTTTTTTGCATGCACATTACTAGCACATTGGCTGTTTATTAGTACTTATAAAGTACATATTAATGCCTTATTCTGCATGATTTAGATCCCTTAATTCTACCCCAAACCTAAACCTAACAACGATTTTACTAACTATTAATAAGTAGCAAATTAGGAGTTTATTGAGACAAAAGTTGTAGTTAATAGTTAGTTAATAGTGAGAACTGGACCTGAAAATAAAGTTTGACCGTATTGGAATGAATAGAATTTAATTAAATTTCTGCCAACTGCCAAAAAAAAAGGTTAAATTTTTCGAAAGCTACATAATTTTTTTCTAACAAATCAACATCAAAAAAATGTTTTCTTGTACTAAAAACTGTGGATTTTTTTTTAAATGTAAAACACATTTCTGGGTCAAAACTGACCCGAATGCAAAAGTAGGGTTAAGATTTAAAGCGCACGACAAGAGCACATTCAATACTATTAAGCACACTTTTTCCCACAGTGGATAATGACATGATATATATTTATCTTCTTTTGTCTCCTCTATTATTATGCTGCATTCCAATCAACTCTAAAAGTCAGAACATACCACCTGGAAAAGTGCAATAAAATTATATTGAGATCAGATTTGGAAATCAACTTAGAAAGTCCAGTTTTTCTCATTCAGAAATGTGATTATTGTTGTGTGATGTCACACTAACATATGATAAGATGATTCAAAGACAGGAGAGTAAAACCCAGTAACTGAATTATTCCGTTCATAATCATACACCTGAGAAACAAATGCTGTCACTGCATAACATTGTTTATACTCCGCAATTTGGTTGCTTGGAGACACATTTCCAAAGCAAAAGCTTGCACTGCAATTTGTTTCTTTATAAATCATCTTCAGAATGTCTGGCAATGGAACGTCTTTACAGAGGGAAGTCAGTGACATCTACGAGGAAAGAATATCCCACATCTGACGTCGATTGGAATGCAGCATTAGAACTGTAGTAGCCAAGGATATTTTGGGCTTCCTAAAAAGGAGTCCCAAAGAGCCGTAAAGCCGTAAAGCTCGTAAAGCTACATGGTTTTCTTAACGTATCGTGCCATACAATTTTTGTGTAACTTTTATTACAGACCTACTGAATAAGGAATGTGTTTTCAGTTTTGTGGATACACATATTATAAGTCAACCCAGTCTCATAAAAATACGTACCTCTGGGTACTTTTCTGCAACACCGTTTTTACGTACCTTACTGCACGTTTCGCCGCAGTTTCAAAGAGAAATGTCCACTGAGTGGCGCTAAAACATGGGTTCAATACGTGAACCCTGGCATGTTTTTATTACGTTGATATAGTATTGCTGTGTTTTTATTACGTTGCTTCAGTTACGTATTGCGGCGGTTCAAAATTCAAAATTCAAATATCCGGGGACTGTCGCTAAAAGTTCATGCTCTATCGTGTTGGAAATATGCCCTACACCAAACCCAACCCTAAACCTACCCGATAGTGTTAACAAATGCAAAACTGATATAAAAACGCATTTGTTGATGCAACCGTGTCATTTGAACTTACTTCAAAAGCATCAGTTTTCAAATCTCCCAGCATATTAAAATTGTTTTGAAGTCATAACATGATATTCTTCAAGTAATTGTGCGAAAATTACGCTTTATTAATCGAAACTCTGTAAATGTGTGTGAAAAGGAATAAAAGGTGTCGGAGTTTTACTGCCTCTTGTGTTAATTTCTTTTGGAAACTGCAGTGATATGTACTTATTGGTACATATTTCGCGTCTCGCGAAAATGTGCCCACGGGTACGTTTTTGCCATGAGACCAGGTTGTTATAAGTACATGGTTCAAATGTGTGCGTACCTATTCCTTATTCACTTTTAACTTTCTCATTCTCTCCTCTGATTAATTTCATTTTGTCTTTTATGAACATATACATTTACTTTACTTAGAGCTCCTACAAACTCTACAAACCCCGAAGAGTGTATCATCATAACTTGTCCTACAAAATTATTCTTAAAATCCAAGGTTATCATGACTTTAAGCCTTTTCAAACCTGTTTTCTCATTGTGTGCATTTCTCCAGATCACATCATAATTGTTTTATTTACTAGTGGTGTCAAACGATTAATCGCGATTAATCACGATTAATCGCATCCGAAATAAGTTTTTGTTTACATAATATACATGTGTGTACTGTGTATATATTTTTTTGTTTATATAAATACACACATATGCATGTATATATTTAAGAAAAATATGTTATGTATATACATTACGTATATTTATATATAATATAAATTGTATGAATATAAATATATACATGTAAATATTTTCAAAATATATACAGTATGAGTATGTATTTACATATACATAATAAATATACACAGTACACACACATATTATGTAAAAAAAACTTATTTTGGATGCGATTAATTGCTATTAATCATTTGAAAGCACTATTATTTACACAAATATAATTTTAAAACTATATTAGTATACTACTGTATATATTATAATTGTATACTATTACAAATACTTCCAAATAAATACATTTCTTCAACAATATAAGTCACAAAAAAGGCCAATAATGAAATTGCATTACTGTAACAGTCCAAAATTGCCATGTTAATATAATCTTTTTTTTTTTTAAAGTAAAAGTCTCAGTAAATCTTAGGAAACGATGTATTAGAAATGTACAAAAAACCTTTAGTATGGGACACAAGGAAAGAGAGTTTTGGAGAAAAAATGAAATGTCATAATGCTTCAAAAAAGGCAAAATACAACTGGTTTCTTTTTCTCTTTTTAATAAAACAGTGCATTTTCGTGTTTTTTTTTTTCTGAATTCATACAAGCAGAAAAATTAATTATGTGGTACTAATAGAGAGTTAACATCTATAGTTTTAAATCTACCCAAACAGCCCTTCCCCTCATTCTACAGCCCCAGGTACGAGCGCCTGTTTGCGGGCACAGCTCCAGTTTCTCTGACCTTTGACTTCCGCAGCTCCCCGGGGGTCTTGTCTGCACTTGCAAAAACAAGCAAATCAGATCCTTTTACCCCAAACAAACACCTACATACAGAGAGCAGCCCTGTCTTACACACACACGGCTAATCACTGCACACGTGCACACATGAGCACGAGCGCACACACGTGCACACAATAATGACCTCACACACACACATTAAACACGTGCTGCTACATACACTCAAAATAAACAACATTTACGATTAGAAAATATGTCTTCGTTTACTAAAAATAATACTTTGGTATTACGTTTTCTTTAGCCATAGTACCAATTTACATTTTTTAAACATGCAGGCTTCAAGTAGAGCTACAAAACCGTTTTATTAGAAAATAGTATGGCCTACTGCAGCTGTCAGTATCATACATCAATACTGCAGGTCAATCAGCAGCACAACATATTTCTTCCTCCTTCAGTCCCTGGCAGCCTCCTCCTCTATTATCTGAGCAGTTCTTCACAGAGTGATATATGGAGGTGTAATGAGACTCTTTCTGTGAAAGTCTCATCCTCCCTACTGTAGCATCACACTCACAGACAGCAGCAAACAGCTCCCTGCCAGTGTTAACTTCAGTATTCAGTATGAAATCAAATAAATATTTTGGATTATTTTCAAAATAATGTAAAATGCTGTTGATTTTGACCATTTTTGAACTTGTTCATTGTATTTAAAGCTGAAGTATGAAACTTTTTGGTTTAAAATGAACAAAAAACTTGATCTGTCAATCTCTAATCTGTCTTTTAGAAGTGGGACTACTTTTCTAATCAGATGTACTTCTGTTTATGCATCGATGATGTTTTTTCTGTGGGTGGCGTTTGCTGAAATCCACGCAATCGATACTTTACGATCAAAAACAAGTGAAAGTCACTCAATTTGAGGTGAGATATGAGATGAAACACTGGATATAATTTTGCATATAGAGTACGGACTTGGTAAATGATTCTGTCACATATGATATCAATGTGCTAAATTTTTTTTGAAACATTAACTGTATTAAGCATATATTAGTTTAAAGGGGTCATATGATGCTGCTAAAAAGAACATTATTGTTTATACTTTTTTGTACACTATTGTTCAAAGGTTTGGGGTCGGTAAGATTTTTAAAATATTTTCACTCACCAAGGCTTGGATTTAAAAATACAGTAAAACAGTATATTGTGAGATTTTATTGCGATTTAAAATAGCTTTTATATTTACTATAAAATGTAATGTGAATTTTCAGCAGCCATTACTCCAGTCTTTAGTCTTTCTAATTATTATCAATGCTGAAAATAGTTGTGCTGCTTAATATTTTGGTGAAAACTGGTATATATTTTTTCAGGATTCTCTGATGAATAAGAACAGCACTTACTTGACAGAAATCATTTGCAACTTGTCTTTAATGTCACTTTTGATCAGTTTATTCCTTGCATCCTTGCTGAATAAAAGTATTAATTTCTATAAAAATATTTTGCTGATGCCATGCTTGTGTTTTTATGTTGTTACCTTATTTTAAATCCATTATTGGTGATGCTGCATGTTATTTGAGTAATCGTTTACTCATTTTAATGTTTTAGCATTTGACTCCACAATGAATCAAAAAGCCCAACCCTAGACGCCCATCAAAGAAACCACTAAGCCTTGCAATGGTGATGAAGATGATGACGACGAGAAAGAGGTTTACTCACAGCTTCTCGAGGGAGTACAAGCCAGCGAAAGAGCCATTTTTCAGGACGCGGATGCGATTGTTGCTCAGATTTCTGTGAAGAAATGCAAAAGCAGAGATGAAATCACTAATCACACATTCACAGACAGTCATGTAAAATGAAATCTACTCGTGCATCTAATGAAAACAGGCCTCACTCACACACTCTGTCACAGACGCCCTCGCCAACACACACGCTGAACCAAAACACACATGCGCATGTCCAACAAAAACACGCATGTACAGTAAACACCCTGACACAAGCGTGCTTATATGGCCAGGCATCTCAGACACACACGCTCGCCAACTCTCACACATATTCTTCATTTGCTGCCTACAAACCCTGTGACCGCTGCATTAAAATTCTGCTATATACAACAAAGACATAGTAGTCTGACTGTAGAAGTCACCTGTGGTTCACTTCAACACTTTAATTTCTATCAAACAGAAACAAAAACATAAGATATAAGGGAAGATATCATAAGGTTTCCCCCCCCTTTTTAATTTATTTAATGATTTACTGCTTAAACATAATGGTAGTGAATTAGTATTATTGTTCATTTGGGTGAAGAATTATTATTTTTTAAATATTTGTAACAGGTAATACAAATTCTATATTGACTACATAATTGAATGTATGGCCTTTGTCATTATTTCTATCAAACAGAAACAAAAACATAAGATATAAGGGAAGATATCATGGAAAATGGTTTTTCTTGCTGTTTCCCCCCCCTTTTTAATTTATTTAATGATTTACTGCTTAAACATAATGGTAGTGAATTAGTATTATTGTTCATTTGGGTGAAGAATTATTATTTTTTAAATATTTGTAACAGGTAATACAAATTCTATATTGACTACATAATTGAATGTATGGCCTTCGTCATTATTTTGAGCTGTAAATACTCGAACATTGCTAATACATTTTCTAATGATGCAAGTTTGAGCAGTGTGCAAGTGCAAATGGTGTTCTTTTAAACTTTCTATTCATCAAAGAACCCTGAAAAAATAAGTTATGATTGGGTATATGCATATACAGTAGTCGGGGTTGAATTATCGTTTACCTTGTGTAATTTTATTCATGACTTATTTCTTGATATATATATACTTTTTTCAAATATAGTTCAGTCAGTGCATTAAACTAGAGGCTCTTAACTGATCCATACCCAACAAAATCAACCACAGATCCATTTAACAGGGCTGTGGACAGCACAGATTTAAGAAAAACAGAGGAAAATTTGTGGTAAATGCAATTATACATTGAGCATTTGAGACAGCAAAATCAATTGGCTTTTCAAGTTTTATAAGACAGAAGAAAATGCTTCCCAAATCCTTTGTCATTGACATAAATGGGGTGTAAAATGCTTGAGTAATTTTACTTGATTAGTGTACTTAAGTATTATTTTGCAATTTAATCCGACGCCTTGTACTTTTACTTGATAACATTTCTGAAGAAAAAAACAGTACTTCATTGTATTTTCTTCCATCTTACGCACATGAAATATGGTAAACAATAGCTCAAACATGCATGCTTGACATGCGAGAACCAGTGATGTTTGTTTTTCGTGCATCAAGCACACGCAAGCTTCAATCATAACTTTCATCACAGAAATTTCTGGCTTCAAAAGATTTATTTTTTCTGAAACTCTTTGTTTGGGTTCATCTGAAGAAAGAAAGTCAAATACATATGGCATGGCATAAGGGTGTAAAGAATGAAGTAAAACACTGAGCATTTTTTGTGTTGCTCTGTGCTGCATTTGAATTGTTGTTGTACACACTTGACTAGATGTTTTTTTGCCTGTGCCATTGCATTTTGTTTTGTTTTCCCCCTTTAACCAAACCTTTTTATATCTGACAAAACATTTTATTATTTTATATCACCTTGCATTGAAAAGATTATTTAAAATGATGAAACAACCTCTCTCGTTTTTTATTTTTACTAGGTTACTTTTTTAATACTTAAGTACAATTTAAAGTTGTACTTGTTTAGTTTTACTCAAGTAGTTTTTGGCCAGATATTTCTAATTTTAAATGAGTCAAATTTTCGCTCAGTAACTGCACTTTCACCTAAGTATAATTTTGGGTACTTTTTACACCCCTGTAAAATTCAATTCATTACAAAATCATCTGTTATTTGGTAGAAACAGTTTAATTAGAAAGATGCCCACATGATAGGTTATATAAAAACCCCTCATCCTTGAAAGAAGTAATGAACAAAACTACACAAGGTGAAAGAAAATACAACCCAGACTACTGTATATACATATACCCAATAATAACCCTTTTTCATGATTATTTGATAAATTGAAAGTTTAAAAGAACTTTTTTGATATATAATGCATCCTTCTGAAAAAAAGTACTAATTTGTTTAACTAAAAAAGTGCCCATAGAAACACTGAGTATCTATTGAGATGTGGTGTTTCAGCAGCAGAAGAGAGGAGGAAGGAGAGTTTGTGAGAAAGGATGCTGCCCAAACACGAGTTCAGCGACCCAACAGCGGAGACAGCGGCATCAACTTCAGCCATCAGACCGTGCTGTTTCCAATTAATCTTCACGGCTTAATGGAGGGATGGAAAGGGCGAGGGAATGAGGAAGAGGAGGGGGAGGAAGCCATAATCTTGATAATCACAGTGGATACATTTTTACATCAAAAGGAAGTCGAGGTCCACATCAAACGAACGCCCGGCTCTTTCCACGACAATTATCCCTTTCGCCATTGGCTAATGGGCCTGAGACCAGAGAGAGTCTTATCAGAAGGAAGAGAGGAAAGAGAAGAGGACGAGAGAGAGGGCTTTGGATGGTTGTATGGGTAAAGCTCAGGAGGAAAACAGGTTTGGCTTAGGTTTGTGGCTGATATGGACAAATAAAAACACACAAATGCCAGTAAACTGAGCTGTTATGTATATACCAGATCTATTTCTGTCTATCCCAAAAGCATATATGGAAGCAATACATCACAAGAGTCCATACATTACAGTGATTTTCCCACAGTTTAGAGTTTTAGGTCTAGGTACGTTTTTATAAAATAGCAGCCACAGTAACATTATAAAGACACTTATGTTCATTAACTGAGTAGTTGACAAACAGCATGCAGATCGACTTTACTTTTTCAACATCAAGATTGTAGAAATTAGTAAAAGTATAGTAAAATAGTAAATTGTAAACGTAGGATTCAAAATCTAATTTAAGCCCAGAAGTTGTAGAATAAAATAAAATAATGTAAAAATACAATAATGTAAAAAATACAATAATATAAAAAATAAAATAAAAAATAAAAAATACAAAAAAAAAAATCAATTTCCACTCATGCTAATAATAAAATTTCTAATGAAAAAGTACTTTTAATTTAATATTAAATCAGAAAAATAATTTTAAAATATAAATTATAAATCATCAAAATGTTGGTACAAACATAGATTTAAATAATTATTTATTTTTTTAAATATCGATATTCCGTTTTTGAGAATCGATACAATATAGCCAAACAAAATATTGCGATACTCACGTGTATCGATATTTTCTTACACCCCTCACACAAAATAAGTTTATAAATAATTTTATTGCCAACTTTTATTTATTTTTTATCTTTTAATATAATATATTCAATATAATACATTCAAATATTTACATAATTGAATAATATTTGAAGGGTACATGATAATGTTTTATTCTTAATAATTATATACTGTATATATATATATATAACAGAAATTAAATATATATATATATACACACACACACTAGGGCTGTGTATTGGCAAGAATCTGGCGATACGATACGTATCACGATACAGGCAGGGGTTGCAATACGATATGTTGCGATACATTGCGATACTGTAAGCAAGGCGATATATTGGGATATTTCTTATTTTAGGAATAGGATATATTTTTAGTAAAGCTGTCATTAAGAACACACCACCATATGCAAACCTTAGCAATAAATAAATAAATAAAATTTATTTAACCAGAACACAGTGGGATCTGCATGAGGCGGCGCCCGCGCCACGGTCCCGCAGTGGACATTAAAAGCCCAAATGACGCCACACTTCAGTTTTGTACACCGAAACGGGAACTGGAACAATTCTTTCATCCTCCATTACTAGCAGCGAACTATATTAACGCTAACATTAGTGGCGTGCCCTAATGCTAGTATTTCCCGTCACTGTTATACTGAGAATCTTAGAATTTTACTGGTACTGGTACTGACTACTGAAATTTTGGTACCACTTTTTGTAAAATAATGATTATTAATTAGTATTCCCTTCACAACAGGATCACAATATCACTTCAGTGCATAAATTCCCTCGTATGCTCACCCACATCCGACTCAGAGTGACCTGAGTGTTGATATAAAATGCAAAGTCAACATCACACAGAAATCACAGATAACTATCTTCAGTCTAAAAGACAGTCTGCTGCTACCCAAGATGTCCATGATTTCATATCATACAATCTGACTTGCAACAATCATAAAGGACTTTAAACATCCTTAAGTCTACTCCTGGCTTTATCCAATCAGATTTTAGAGCTGTAATTATCCATGTATAACTGCATGTAATTCCTGGTACTTTCTAAAGTGTGCATTTGTGACTCATGTTACCCTTTCGTCTGCTTCAGTGTGTTACAGCCCAATAGAGCGTAACTGGCTGAATATCCACTTATTGGCAGGAAGTGTGTTACCAATTAGGACTAAAGAACGTGTTTGCAGTATGCGAGTGTGTGTGTGTGTGTGTGTAGCCTATGTTGAGAGAAAGTGTGTCTGCTTTCATTTGCAAACCAGCAGCTGGTTCGTCTTACTTCCTGCCTTGTCACAAAAGTTAATGAGCAGATTTAATCACCTTTTATGTAAAATCCAATATAGCATGACACTAGCAACGTTAACGTCATCGGTTTGATTCCCAGGGAATGAATGCATGAACATTAAAATTATACACCTTAAATAACAAATAAGATGCTTTAGATTACAGTGTGTAATGTAAATAAATAAATTCACAATACAGCACAACGTCGAAAAAAAAAGTTCAGAATTTGCATGACACCAGCATGATTGGAAATG